CCCAGCTGCTGACAGCCTTCTTTCACCCGGAGGGTTAGGGCTGGACTCTGGTCTCTGCGGCCTGAACCCCAGTTACCAGCTTGGGCAGGAGAGTGTGGGGGGGGGGCGAGGGAGGTCCTTGTTGTCTACTTATTGTCTACGGATCAGCGTGTTGAAGCCACGTGTGTACTGGGGCGAGAAGTAAAGGCAGCCGTGAGGGTCTCTGGGGGTGAGGGGGGCTGAGCTGTGGCCTGCGGTCGGGAAGGGTTGAGGTGGGAGCATCCGTGAAGGGGTGGATTGGGCAGGTCGGGGTGCAGGAGGGCCAGGAGGGAGAAGGGAAGTGGAAGGGTCTCGCCCCACCCACCCCTTTTCCCGAGGCAGGAGGGGAGGGTTAGAAGACATGCACTGCACGACAGCTGCACTCATCTAGATACGTGCACAAACACACAGACTCTCACACACACACACACACACACACACACACACACACACACACACCCCCGCACAGGGGACGCAGCCTTGATGGGGGCCGGAGAGCAGCTGCCTTCCTGGGGTCCTGCTGCCCCTGCGTGGGGACAGAGGGCTGCTGCCGGGAGGGATTGCGGGGGGACATCCAAGGAGCAGTGAGGCGAGATGGGTCCCAAGGGGGCTCCTCTTTCTCAGGTCTCAGCCCCCCCACCACTTGGTGCCCTAGAGTGTGGGTAGGGGCGGGAGGGGAGTCTGGGGGTGATGCTGAGGGGGGAGGTGGAAAGGGGGTGGGGTTTGGGGCACTTAGCAGCCCTCCCTCTGACCTTCAGACTGGGCCTGTGTTTAGCTGTGGGGGTGGGGTCAAGGTCAAGGAGAGCCAGTGGTGTTGGGGATCAGGCCCTCTCTCCTCCCTGGAGCTCAGAGGTCTGGTCCCAAAACAAACAAAATACCCCGGGACAGGGCTGGGCTGAGCCCCGCAGGGGGCTGGGTAAGCACAGAGAGTCACTGCCCCCGGGAGGGAACAGGCACCTCTCCTGCACCCCTGCCCTTAGGGTCAGGCACACCAAGGCCACCTGACGGGACAGTGATAGATAGCAGCGGTGGGACATGGTGGGACTCCGCCCTTGCATGCAGACTTGGGTCCTTTCCCAGCACCTCCAGGGCCCCTGAGCTCAGCCTGGGGTGATCCCTGAGTGCAGAATCAGGAGGAAGCTCTGAGCACCAATGGGTGTGGCTCCCAACATAAAGCAAACAAGATACCAAACTCCCCCCTCCCCCCCCAAAAAAAAGAAAAGAAAAAGAAAGAACACCCACTCCCCTCCTGGCCCCTGTGGCCCCTGGGTCGGCTGCTCCTGCCTCCGCTGTGGACGCTGGGCAGGGCCTAGAGCACAGGAACGCAGGACACTGACGCTTGGCCCGTGGGCGAGAAGGGACACAATGCTGGGGCTGCCCCCCTGTGTGTGTGGAAGGGGCGGAGCTGCAAGGGTGTGTTGGGGTCCTGCTGTGCCCACCTAGCCCTCGCCAGGTCTCCTCCCCGCCCCCCCACCCCATCTGACTGGAGGCAAGATGATGGTGACAGGAAAGGGAGTCGCTCAGTCTTGGGGCTTCCGACCTTCAGGCTAATGCTGTCTGCAGAGATCTCTGCCTGTCTCAGTGTCAGCTGGGCTTTGCCGGCCTGGGGCAGGCAGCAGAGGAGGACTCGGGGGACAAGCATTTATGCTCCTTGGGTGGCGTGTCCCGTGCCCAAGTCATTCCTTAATAGACACTTTCTGAACACAACACCCCTCCTTCTTTTTTCCCTTTTTTTTTTTTTTTTGCTTTTTGGGTCATACCCAGCAATGCTCAGGGGTTACTCCTGGCTCATGCACTCAGGAATTGCTCCTGGCAGTGCTCGGGGGACCATATGGGATTCTGGGAATCGAACCCAGGTCGGCCGCGTGCAAGGCAAATGCCCTCCCCGCTGTGCTATCACTCCAGCCCCTCCTTTTGTTTTTTTCTTTTTGGCTTTGGGGCCACACCCGGCAATGCTCAGGGGTTACTCCTGACTCCTGACTCTGCACTGAGTAATCACTCCTGGTGGTGCTCAGGGGACCTTATGGGATGCAAGAATTGAACATGGGTTGGCTCTGTGCAAGGCAAACACTCTACCCGCTGCACCCTCATAACCCCATTTCTCCCGAGACGTGGCCCGCTGATACGGCCAGAAACACCTGGTCACATGACACGGTCATTGCAAGTTCCAAAAACTTTTTTTTTTTTTACTTTTTGGGTCACACCTGGCGATGCACAGGGGTTACTCCTGGCTCTGCACTCAGGAATCACCCCTGGTGGTGCTCAGGAGACCATATGGGATGCTGGGAATCGAACCCGGGTCGGCCGCGTGCAAGGCAAACGCCCTACCCGCTGTGCTATTGCTCCAGCCCCTCCAAAAACTTCTGAAATAAAAATTTGTTTGTGGCCCCCCACATCCAGTGACATGACCCCCCTGTGGGGCGGAGCCCTCGGTTTAAGAAGGTGGGTTCGAACTAGTTGGAAATGATCACTCTGGACAAGAACTGAGTATTGAAAGCAGGTAAAGGGATAGACATGTAACCTTTCAGCATCTGTATCGCAAACCATCATGCCTAAAATGAGAGAGAGAGAAGAGAGGAACCGCTATAGAGGCTGGGGTGGGAGGTGGTTTGAAGGGGTGGGAGGGAAACGGGGGACAATGGTGCTAGGAACTCACACTGGTGGAGGGATGGGTGTCAGAACATTGTATGACTAAAATGCAATCATGAGCAATTTTGTAACGCTTTCTCTCATGGTGAGTCAATTAAAAAAAAAAAGGGGGGTGGGTTCTAGAGAACCACACATTCCCTGGGAGAAGAACTGTGTATGTGTGTTTGTGCCTATGTGCGTGCGTGTGTGTGTGTGTGTGTGTGTGTGTGTGTGTGTGTGTGTCTTGATCCACAGACTTACAGCCTCTCACCTGCGCTCAGGGCACTCAGCACTCACGGACTTTGAATGAATGAATGAGTGCGTGAGTGAATGATTTAATAAATGAGTGAGTTGAGTGAATGGGGCCCCCGAAGAGGCTCGGGCCCCGCATTTACTGGGAGAATCACGTCAACACAAGCATGTAGAACAGAGGTTGGTGGGTTCTGTAGTGAAGAGTTTGGGAAACAAGTAGAGGAGAGACATTGACTTGGGGAGTGGACAGAAAGGCTTTTGTTTCATTTGAGGGGCCACTCCCAGCACTGTACAGGGCTTACTCCTGGCTCTGTGCTCAGGGTTCTCCCCTAGCAGTGCCCGGTGGACCATATGTGGCACCATTTGAACTGGACTCAGCCCCCTGCAAGGCATGTGCCCAGCTCCTGTGCTCTCTGTCCAGAGCCTGGACAGAGAGACTCTGGGAGAGACCTTGGGAAGGGAGTGTCCTGGCAGGGTCCTGGGGAAAGAATGCGACCTGGACATGTGAGAGACCAGAGAGGCTGCGGGAGCACGCACAAGCAGAGGACGTGGCCCAGGGAAAGACCCAGACATGGGAGGGGCACAGGGCATTTTGGGAACTGCCGGGGGTGTGGGGGGCTGAAGGGGGCAGAGGGCACTGCAGGAAATGAGGGAGAAGCCAGTTCCCGACATCAGTTGTGTGCCAGGGTGAGGACCGCTGAGGGGGCGGTGGGGTCTGTGGGGCCCCCTGTGGGTTCCTGCAGGATCACAGCAGAGAGAAAGGGGATCAGACAGATGGACCTTCAGGGGGCAGGACATGGTGTGGGGGCAAAGCTGAGCTGGACCAGGACGTGGGGGGCCAGGGGACCTGAGAGGGCTAGGAGAAGCTCAGGCCTTTCTAGTCTGGAAGGAAGGAGGCTGAGGGGGCACGGAGACTAGCCACTACCGTCACATGACCAAGAACTCTTGTATCAAGATGTTTTCGGGGCACACTCAACAATGCTTAGTGCTTACTCCTGACTCTGTGCTCAGGGATCACTCCTGGCAAGATTTGGGGGGGCATCTGGGATGCCAAGCTGGAAGCGGGGAGTCTTACCAGCCCCCACCCCCACCCCTCTGTCTTATCTCTCCAGTCTTGCAGTTTTTGTTCTTTTTCTTTGGGCGGGTGGGGGTGCCCCACCTGGTGCTCAGGGCTTACTCCCAGTTCCACACTCCAGGATCACTCCTGTGGGCTCAGGGGACCATATGGGAGGCTGGGGATTGAACCCAGTTTGACCACACGCAAGGCAAGCGCCTTACCCACGGTACTATCACTCTAGCCCCTCCAACCCTGTCTTAAGGTCTTTTTAAAAAGTATTTATTTATTTATATTTCTTTTTGGGTCCCACCCGGCGATGCTCAGGGGTTACTCCTGGCTCTGCACTCAGGAATCACTCCTGGCGGTGCTCGGGGGACCCTATGGAATGCTGGGAATCGAACCTGGGTTGGCCGTGTGCAAGGCAAATGCCCTACCCGCTGTGCTATCGCTCCAGCTCCTCTTTTTTTTTTTTTTTGCTTTTTGGGTCACACTTAGCGATGCACAGGGGTTACTCCTGGCTCTGCACTCAGGAGTTACTCTTGGCGGTGCTCAGGGGACCATATGGGATGCTGGGAATCGAACCCGGGTGCAAGGCAAATGTCCTCCCCGCCGTGCTATTGCTCCAGACCCTCTTACGGTTTTTTAAACTTTCTTTTAGGGTCACACCCAGCAGTGCTGAGATGGGAAGCGGGGGTAGCTCCTGGAGTCAGGGACGGAGTGTGTGCTCACCCCCCTAACGTGCTGGAGTGCAGGGACCGTCCTTCCTGGGGAAGAGGCCCTGACGTCTCGTGGCGGTGATTTCCTTTAGCCACAAACTTTAGTGGGTGCCTCTGGGGTCCTGAGTGCAGATGACCTATGAGGGCCGGCATCAGGGCTGGAGATTTCAGGGGACCCGGAGCCCAGGTGGTGTCTTGAGCGCCCCTGAGGTGCCAGGACCAGCGTGAACAGACCAGAGGCCCCTCACAGCACTCGCTCTCCCTCTGGGGAGCACGGCTGACCCGGGAGGGCAGCTGAGCTCAGTGGGTCCCTGTGTGTGCCCCTGCAGATGCTGTCGGTGGCGCCGCTGTTTGAGGTGAACGGCCTCCCCCGAGCTGTGCCCCTCAACCTCCCCTACCAGCACTTCAAGAAGGACCTGTCCGACTACCGTGAGCGCGCCCGGCTGTTGCGCGGACGCAGGGTGGGCTTGGCACACATGCTGCCCCCAGTGCCCCAGCTCTCCCGCGCCCCCCTGCAGCCTCAAGCCAACGGGAAGGAGGAGGACGACGAGGAGAAGGCAGAGGAGGAGGAAGAGGAGGAGGAAGAGGAAGAGGAGGAAGGAGAGGAGGAAGACGAGGAGGAGGAAGATGAGGAAGACGAGGAGGAAGAGGAAGAAGAGGAGGAGGAGGAGGAAGAGGTCGTGGCTCTGGGGGAAGCCCTAGGGCCCCACAGTGGTTCCAGCAGCGAGGGGAGCCAGAGGAGCACCGACCGCAGCCAGGAGGGCGCCCCGTCCACGCTGCTGGCCGACGACCAGAAGGAGTCTCGGGGCCGGGCCTCCATGGCCGACGGGGACCTGGAGCTCGAGGAGGGTTCCAAAACGCTGGTGCTCGTCTCCCCCGGCGACATGAAGAAGTCGCCCGTCACTGCCGACCTGGCCCCCGACCCCGACCTGGGCACCCTGGCCGCCCTGACTCCTCAGCTCGAGCGGGCCCCGCCCACAGGCAGCCAGCTGGACGTGTCCGAGCCGGGCACGCTCTCGTCGGTCCTCAAGTCTGAGCAGAAGCCCCCGCCGTCGCTGCCACCGCCGCCGCCGGGCCCCGGGGCCTCAGGTGCAGGGACGGTGGCCGTCACCACCTCACCCTTCACCAAAGTCGAGAGGACCTTCGTGCACATTGCGGAGAAAAGCCACCTCAACGTCATGTCCTCTGGGGGCCAGAGCTCCCGAGCCGAGGAGCTCAGCGCTGGGGCTGAGCCGGGACCGGAGGGGGTCTCTGGAGAGAGTGCGGCGGAGGAGGGGGTCTCGCAGCCCCTGCAGAATGGCCTTGCCCCCGTGGGCCCGGACGGGGGGCAGAGGATGGAGCGCGGTGCCCCCCCACGCTCCCCTGCAGGACCCCTGGCAGAGGTGCCCGGGGACGCACTGCCCAACGGCCCAGCCCTGGCTGACGGGCTCGCCCCGGCTCGCAGGCTGGAGCCAGGCCCCGAGGAGAAACTGGGCCCCGTGTCCCCCAGCCTCCAGGCCCGGCCCGGAGCCCGGCCCAGGAGCCGGATCCCTGTGCTGCTCTCCGAGGAGGACACGGGCTCCGAGCCCTCGGGCTCGCTGTCGGCCAAGGAGCGGTGGGGCAAGAGGGCGCGGGCCCCCCAGGACCTGGCCCGGCTGGTGATGGAGAAGCGGCAGGGCCGGCTGCTGCTCAGGCTGGCCTCCGGGGCGTCGTCTTCGTCCAGCGAGGAGCAGCGGCGGGCGTCCGAGACGCTGTCGGGCCCCTGCTCGGAGGAGGACGCGCCCACCTCTGAGCCCACGGGGGCCGCCACCGCCCGGGGCCGGCTGCCTAGGAGCCGGATCCCCCGCCTGGTCAGCGTCCGGGCGCCCATGCCTGCCGCGGCCCAGAGGGGTCCCCCCAGGCCCCAGGGCACCCCAGCATCTGACACAGCCATCACCAGCAGGTAAGAGGCCGGCCAGCCTGCAGGGGTGCTGGGAGGGGGGCGGGGGTCAGTGGGCACTAGAAGCCCCTCCACTCGCAGGGCCTTCCCCAGAGCCAAGGTCAAGGGGTTCAGGAAGGACCCCCAGTCTCTTGGGAAAGGCGGGTGGGGTCCAAACCCACAATGTTCTTCACCAGCGTGTGGGGGTGGGGTGGGGAGGGGGGACTTGATGTCAGACAGAGCCCAGAGCTTTGCAGCTTGGACAGACGGCCACCCCCCAGATGCGAACCAGCTGGGTCACAGGCAGAGTAGAAGGCAGCGGGCACGAGATGCTTAAAGCAGAATCGGACTCAAAGCCAGCCCGCGGCCAGCCGTCCCCTAGCGAGCCCTGCCCCGGAGGGTGGCGCGCCCGGCCTCAGTTTACCCGTCGGCGCCAGGCTGAGCGCTGACCCCGTCTCCTCTTGCTTCTCTGCCTCCCTCTCTCCCGGTCGCCGCTGCCCGCAGGCTCCAGCTGCAGAAGCCCCCGGGGCCGGCCGCTGCCGCTGACCTCCGGCCCAAGCAGCCCCCCGCCGCCCGCGGACCAGCCGGCCCCCGGCCCCCCGCGTCGGCGGCGGCGGCGGCGCGCCCGGCCAGCGCGTCCCCGCGGAGCGGGTCCCTGCACCGCAAGGAGAGCCCGTGCCCCTCGCACCAGGCCCGGCCCGGGGGTCCCGCCGCGCGGGGGGCCCCCGCGGCCCGGCCGCAGCCCGACGGCGGCGCGGCCTCCAAGCACGGACCCAGAGGGAAGGCGCAGACCCCGCGCGCAGCTACCAAAGGCCGGGCGGGGGGCGCCGAGGGCCGGGCCGGGGCCAGGTAATAACGCGCGGCCCCGCGCCCCTGCCCGCTCCCAGCACAGCCTTACGCCCGCTGCTCGCCCGCCCCCCGCGGGACTCCGCTCGCACCTCCAGCCAAAGCCCCCCACCCCTCTCCAGAAGGGCCCAGGCCTCGGGGCGCCCCGGGCTCGGGCCTCTCCTGGGCGGCCGGGCTGGGGGCTGGGGAGGTGGAGGATCTACTCAGGTGTGGGGGGCAGCTCCGACCTGCCCCGAAGTCAGCTCCATCGACCCCCGGCTGGGCGGCAGCGCACGTGATTCTCGGGGAGGGGGCGTCCGGCCGCCTCTCCCCCCTCAGTGGCACCTCAGGTGCCTTCCCCAGCAGGAGGGGGCTTTCAAGCAAGTGGCGCCCCGTCCTTTGGCCCCCCATTCAGTGCTCAGGGCCCTGGCCCAGCAGGAGCCCCTTCTTGCCATCCAACCTCAATCTTGCCCGCTGCGACTCCGGATGCCACCCCTGCGGCCGCCAGGGAGGCGATGGCTGCTGGCCTCCTGCTGGCCTCCTGCTGGCCTCCGCTCTGGCCTGTGAGCTTCAGGGACCCGGGCTGGCCGCGTCCCCTCCCAGTCCTGGCTGTGGGGAGCGCGCTGGACCCGGCCCTCAGTTCTCCCCGCCCTGCCCCCACCCCAGGCAGAAAGGCCCCTTCCGGATTCCACGTGTCTCTTCCCCATGTGGGGGGTGGGTGGGGGTCTGCAACCCTCCCCTCCCGCCCTCATCCCTTCGGGGGCCTGGCACACCCATCTGAAGGGGAGTCCCCGTGACCGGCCCCCTCTGCTCTGCTCCCCACCTGGCCCTCTGTCCTTCCCTGGGTCCAGGGCAGGGGAGGCGTCCAGGGGGAGCCGCGAGGCCCAGCAGACCCCAGGAACCAGAGGGCTGGTCAGCAGAGGAGGACTGCAGGGTGGGGCCGTGGAGGCACCCCCCAAGTTGACGCAGAAGCTCCCAGAACACTCAGGAAACCTCTCCAGAAGAGCCTCCTCCGGGATCCCACACCCTCCGGGCGCCCGACTGCCCTCTGGGCCGAGCAGAGGGGCTGGAGCGGGCCACACCCTCCCACCCAGAGCTTCTCTGACAATCAGCTCGCCCCACGCGGGAACGAGGCCCGCACGGCCACCACCCCGGCCCTGGGTTTGTTCCTTACCACCAACCGAACCGTGAATGTAGGCCACCCCCACCAGCCTCACCCCTGCCCAGCCCCGCCCCCAGCCCCCAGCTTCACACAGCACCAGAGCTGAGCAGAGACACCCTAGGACTCCCAAGGAACCTCAGACCTCTGGTCACTGTCACCGAGGAGGGGGGGTGTGAGGGGGAGGGCCAGAGGGCTGACTCTCCACCCAGGAAGGGTCCCAGTGACTGGCCCCAGCAGCAGCCTCTGCTCCCTGGAGCCCCCCGCCGCCTCCTCCAGGCCCTCCTGGTCTCCTCTGAAAGCGTCACATGTCACACCTGCCACTCGCCACTCCAGCCCTTCCCCACAGCCTGTGTCATGCCCGCCCCAGCCCCGCCCTCCCTCCCCCTTTGGGCTCAGGGAGTACAGGAGAGGGGACCGGGGACTCCCCACTTCCCAGCTCCCCCCAGGGGCCCAACTTGCTCAGTCTCCGCTGCTCCTAGGGACCAGCCCTGATGAGCATGGGGGGGGGGGGAGGGAGGCAGGGTTCCCCGGCCTCTCCCCTGGAAGCCACCGGAGAATGTTTACATGCCAAACAGAATGTAACACCCTCCCGAGCCCTCCCCAGACACTGCATGGCCTCTGCCCGTCCCTTGCCCCCCCACACAGCCCCCCTGGAAGCCGCTGTCCTGGTCAGTTGGGGTCTCAGAAGGGAAGTAGCCATCACATCATTAAAGAGCCTGTGGACCTTTCCGGTGGCCTGGACTCTTCTTCCTGGGCAAAGTCCAGGCCCCTCAACTTCGGGTGGGCTGGAGGGAAGGGCCCAGCCTGGCGAAGGAGACTGTCTCCAGGGTCAAGGCCGGGAAGGGGGTGGGCGCGGCAGGAGAGGGGTCCGCCTGGTCACCCCAGAAAGGGACACTGCTCACTGCTCCCCAGGCCAGAGCCTCTCATTCTTGCTTGGGGCTGAGAGGGAGGAAGGAATCGTGGTGATGGCCTGGAAATTAAGGGACAGGAGTGACAGGGTGTGGAGTCCCAAACAGTAACGGCTCCCACAAGGAAGAGCTTGCGTGTCATTCCAGCAGAAGCCACGGAACGCACGGGTGAGCGAGCGGTCTCTGGGGCAGCATCACCACATCGGGGAACGGATCTGCTCCAGTGGCGGAAACTGCCAGGTTCTGTTGGCATAGTTACCCCCTGCAGCTTCCACAGAGCCCCTTCCCGGCCTGGCACCCCCAAAGCTCTCAGAACAAATATGTTTCATTAGATTGGTGTCAGTTTACTCAGGAGCCAAAGCCGATAAGACCGCCTGTGGTCATGAGTAATTCCACTCATCATACATGTTTGCAGTGGGAATATCTATGTTTGATTACAGGGCATGGCCTGGGGTTTCCTACTATGTGGAATACACTTTGAATTGCTTTAAATTCTAGCCAAGCAGTTATACACTTGTTTATCTGAATGCCAAAAGAAATCTTATTTCAAAACAATTCTCTTGGGTTTTGAGGCCAGAGAGTTGGAGGACAGGCTGGTGTGCAGGACTTGATCCCTGGCACCACGGGGGCACCCTGACATCACTGTGTGTGTGTGTGTGTGTGTGTGAGAGAGAGAGAGAGAGAGAGAGAGAGAGAGAGAGAGAGAGAGAGAGAGAGAGAGAGAGACAGGCTATGCAAGAGAGAACAAGAGTTTGGTTTTTTGTTTGTTTTTAAATTTTGGCTTTGGGGCCACACCTGGCGATGCTCAGAGCTTATTCCTGGCTCTGCACTCAGGAATCACTCTGGAGGTACACAGGGGACCATACGGGATGCCAGGGATCAGACCCATGTCAGCTGCATGCAAGACAAATGCCCTCCCTACTGTACTCTCTCCTGCCTCAAGATTGTGTTTTATTTTTTCCCCAAGAAGTGAAAAGGTTTAGAAGTGATCTAGATGTCTGGTAATTGGGGCTGACTGATAGACCATACCCCCCACAATGTGATGGATAATGTTAGGAGTCTTTGGGGAGATAAGTGGTCTTTGTGGACCAGTCTCGAGGCAGCCTCAGGGAAAGACCTGTGTTTGAAACTTTTCACAGGGAGGTGAGCTGGGGAAGCAGCTTTCTCTGCCGTGTGTGTGTGTGTGTGTGTGTGTGTGTGTGTGTGTGTGTACTTTTGCATTTTGGACCCAAGGTTCACTAGCTCTGACTCTTTTGCCTAGGCAATACATAAACAATTTCTCTCCTCCTGCTGGGATCCCTGCCTGGGGCGGGAGATAAAAGGGCCCAAGCTCCAAAGTCCTGTTCTCTTCTGAGAAGACCACTGGGCCATAGCTTGAACATCTGGATCCTGTAGAACGACTCCTGGATCCTGCACAAGCTCCTGGCATCCTTTCCCCTCCAACAGCATGCCAGGGCTCTAGACCAGAGCCAAGCCTCGGTGGGGTTCATCCCAGAGCCAGGAGTAGCCCCTGAGCACCACTGGGTGTGTACTCTCCCTCCACTATTTTTAAAAAAGTCAAAAGTAGGGGCCTCGGGTTGGCTCAGTGGCAAAGTATCTGCCCTGTTGCTGCTCTCTTCCTGAGAGCACTTCACCCCATATGAGCTCTCTGGCCCTCGACTAGACTTTAAAAAATTGGATCACCTGTTGGAAATTTCTTTCTTTGTCATCACTGAGGTTGAATGAATGAAAACTCATTCAAGCATTCATCAGCATTCTTCTGGTCATTCATTCATGCAACTGGTTCGACAGGATATTGCCGTCCGTCCCATGTCCCAGGTACTGACCAGGGAGCCCAGCTCAGTGCTCCCACACGGAGGGGGCTGTGACATACACTAGACAAGGGTCATATGTGCTGACCCCTGGGGCCCAGGAGGGATGCACAGCCCAGACTGGGAGTGTCAAGGAAAGTTCCCCAAGATTCTTTGACTGAATTGTGTAAGACTTCTTAGAGGAAAATCCCAGGAACAGGGAGCAGCCAGGGCAAGGTGGGAGACAGAATGGAGGAGGCTTACAGGCTGAGACCTGCCAGCCACACTCACCATCCACAGGGCCCAGGCTGGTTGTCAGGCGAGGGATGGCCAGCCTAGTGGACCCCCTCCGCGAGCTCCCTGAGAAAGCTAGTTCTCTTCTCTGTCCAGTCGTCTAGAGACCTCTGCCATCAGGGAACAGAGAAATAAGTGTCTGGAGCAAGGGTGCTCAGGCAGGATCTGTGGGAGCCCCCCCCACCAAAGAACCCAAAGGGACTTGCGATAGCAGAGGTGGCCCGTGAGGACAGGCTGGAGGAAGTGGCCAGGATAGGAATGTGGTTCCACTAAGTGCCACTGAGATTTTCCCAAAGCTACTTAGGTAGCATCAAGGCCAGGACAAGAAACTCAGTCTGAAGGGTGATGGGAATGGGGCAGAGCTGGAGTCGGGCAGGAAGGGCACTCGCCTTGCACGAGACTGACCCAGGTTTGAAATTGGCATCCCACGTGGTCCCTCGAGCTCTGCCAGCAGTGATGCCTGAGCAATCCCATCAACGGCCAAGACTCAGAGACTATAAAACCCAGCTCCCGGAAGAGAACAGCACAGAGTCTCCTGCCCCCGCGCCTGGCTGTCCTCGCCGGGGCCCCTTGGAGGGGAGCGGGTTGAGTTTCCCTCCCCGCCCCAACCAGGACTCCAGCAGCTGAAGACCTCCAGAACCAGCCACCACCATGCTGAGACCACTCTCCACACGCATGAAGGTACTGGCAGAGGAACAAAGGCATGCGGGTCCAGGGGCTGAGATCTCCAAGCCTGCTTGGATCGGGGCTGAGCATCCTCCACCAAGATCCTCCATCTTCCAGTAGGCAGGGGTCACACCCACCAACTGCCCCCCAGCGCCGTGTAATCCCATCAACGGCCAAGACTCAGAGACTATAAAACCCAGCTCCCGAAAGCGCGCGGCCGCGCAACATCTTATTATCTCATTCTTACTTTGGACAACCTGGCAGGCTACCGAATGTAACCTGCCCACACGGCAGAGTCTGGCAAACTCCCCGTGGCGTACCCAATATGCCAAATACCAGTAACAATGATGGGTCTCATTCTCCTAACCCTGGAAGAGCTTTGAATATGGCACTTTTTAAAAAATCTCAGGGCTAGGATGAAGGAGACGTTACTGAGGCCTGCTCGAGGCAATCGACCAACAACAGGATGGTCGTGATCGTGATCGTGAAACAGAATC